CATACATTTATGGCATTATTATACCATGCACCCACACCTCCATACCAGCACCACCGCACTGCTCCAAGTGCTGGCCAGGCAGCCGGTCCTGCCCTCGCTTCTCTCCTGTGAACGAACACCCAAATAACTAAAAAAGCAATTACTGTTGCTGATGCACATCATATTTCCCATATAGCTTATTGAAATTATTTCCAGTTATTTAGCATTCCGGCTAATCCGAACGTTACCTCTGGGTACCTGATGATCTGTGGCTGTAACAGAAAAAGCGCTGGAGCAGAGTCAATGATTCACAAAGCAAACAGGGACTGAAATGATACCCACGTTTTCTGACCGGAGCTTTTTAGCTGGGCAGCCTCCGTCTACAGGATGAAGCATGTAATAGAGGCGAACCTTGCTGGCGTGTTTCCGACTCTGGAAAAAACAATAAATAGAAGAAAAAGCAAGAAATGAAGTCACAAAAAGCAAGAAGCTGTATCGCCGTGCATACAACACCGCTCTGCTGTCAGGTTTCACATCCCTATGATCCCACATGGAAGGAGGAAAGAGGAAAGGATCTGGGTGAGGAATGTTTGCTTCTCAGGGGGTTTCACCAAGCTGAAATGAGCTGCGGGGGGCTCTGACACTGCCTTGGGCAGGTAAAGGCTCCGTCCCGCTGCTCGCAGCCCCATGGACACGCAGTGGGGACAGCGATGGCTGGAGCAGAGCAGTGTGCGTCATCGGACCAGCCCCAAGCAGGGTCACCGAGCAGATCGGGGTCATTTAACTGCAGTGGGGATGGGATGGCATCGCCAGGGATCGGACCCACACACACAGAAACCCACAGCTCATGGAAGAATAAAATACGTGAGGGGCATAAAACCTCACTCTCTGGGAAACCACACGACTGATACCTCCAAAGGCCTGGAAGAAGTGTCTCCCATGGGTGAATTATCTCATAATTGTGCATTGGGAGATCCAGTGCCCAGCAGAGAGGAGACGAGGACCCTGTGGGTGCCTGAGCCTTCATCCTCGTGTGCTCCCATAGGGGCTGAGCAGTAAAACCTTGTGGATGTCATGGAAACGAGGGGATTTGTGCACTGGGTGACGCCAAGTTCCAGGTGACACCGTTCTCTGGGTGATGCTGTGCCACCAGCCTGGAGCCAGTGTCCCTGTCCCAGCAGACGTGGGGGGAACTGGCAGCTCCCAGACACGCACGCAGCTACCACTATTGTTATGGAAATGCCTCCTCTGAACCTCTGCTTCCGATTACAGAACAGCCCCACTGTAATACTATAATTTCAGATTTGCCATTTTAAAATATTAAATTATCATTAGCATGCTCTGGAACAGTCTTTTTCCTGTGGTGTGAACTTGGGAGCTAAATTTGCAGAGAGCTGTATTTGTATGCATAAATGTGACTACGCAGTAACTTTTTTAATGGAGCAAACCAGTCAAGATAAATAACGTCAAACATCTT